GTGCCCTAACCTGTAGTGCCTTGGCCACTCCCACACACACACACATGCACACAGCTGCCCACAAACACATCAGTCCTAGTTCCATTTGCAGGCCCATTTGTACATACATACATGCATGCCCATCTATGTGTAACTCTGCTTACTCTTCCTTGTGTGTACACATGTGCCCAGCACATGTGCTCACACCTGTACCAAGAGATAAGCTAGGCAAAGAGCTCTCCAGGTTCCTGCTATTGCTGAGTATGTGGTGTGGCCAGTGTCTGCTAGTCAGGCTCACCTTCCTAATGACCCTGACCCAGGACGGGGAGAGGACAGGTCTCCAGGGTCCTGCTTCTGCCCCAGCTATCTGAGGTGAGACCATCTGGCAGACTGACCTCTGCTCTGGTATTTGGCCTCCTGAGTTGTTCTGTCCAGTTGCTGAGCTCCCACAAACTAACTGCTCATGGGAGGGAAGCCCTGACCCAGGGTGGGATTTCATACTGAGTGTGAAGGCATAGAGTCAGGAGATCCCAGTGGGCCTGGATGACTGTGAGGCCCCACTATCCTAGTCCAGGAAAGGTTCTGAAGATTGTCTTCTGCAGGTCTAAGCCAGGGTGTAACCACCTGCCAGGAAGTTGGGGGCTCCTCCCCACAGCAATGGGCTCAGGTTGGTAGGTCAACTGTAGGCTCATCGGGCAAGGGGAACCCCGGACACCATCAGTAGACACTCTGAAATGCAACCTTCACCTGCCCCCTTGCTCTGTCCTGGCCAAGTGTAGAGTGGCTGTCTCAGTCCTTTGGCATGGGGATGGGATTTGCCCCTATTTGCCTAAAGCCCTGCCGTCCACTAGCTGGGAACGCTGCAGCAGTCTGGAGCTGCCACCTGGGACCCAGTACGCATCTGGCTGGGTCTGGTCCCACTGGCTCAGTTGCCTAGGCTGTAGTGTGGCCTCTTGGTCACTGTGGCACAAACAGGTGCACAGAAGCTCTAGCCCTGTCGTGGCCTGTTTTCACCCAGTAATCTCTTCTGCTATCTCAGCCTGCCACATGGCCAAGCCGAGGAAGAGGCCATACCAAAGAATGTCTTCTCTTCCCGAGTTTTTTCCCTGCATGCTTCTGTCCCCAAACAGAACTGGCCCCTCCTTGGGATCTCAACAGCACCCTTGAAAGGCTCTGGTGCTGTAATCTGTCTGTTTTTGCTTCTCCCCCAGAGTTCTGTGAAACATTCAGGAAGAGACTGTGTTTCATGCATAGATTGCTTCAATACCAATACAAGCCCTGTCACACAGTAGGTCCTCAGTGGCTGGTTGTTGACTGGCTGAATGAATGACTGAATAAATGAATGAATGAATGAATATGTACCTGGCAATGTTATAAGACTTGGTTCCTGGTCCTGGTCAACTGACCCTCTGCATACTTTTGACATGCTCCTTCCCCCTCCATCCACCCATAAACTGGAGTAGCCAAGAGGTATAAACTGAAATGCCTGCTGAGCCAGGCAAAAATGGAGATGTGTGAAATGGCTGAGTAAAAGGTGATAGGGAGTGGGGGAGACTATTTATTGCATATGTATATGTTCGTATCCATAGAATATTTAAACACTGAGTTGAACAAGCAAAATGGTTGCATTTTGATGTGGAAAGGACCTTTCCAGCCTGACATCTTGTAATTTGAAATCTCTCACCCTTTGGTTCACACTTTACAAGTCCTGTGGGGCAGTGCAGTTTGGCAGATTAAACAGTAGAAGAGCCAAAGACCTTTTCCAGAGATGGAGTGGTTGATAACCAGTCTATCAGTTGCCTCTGGAGCAGTCCACATGTGACCAGGCTCTTAGAAAACAGGCAATGTCCCACCACTGCTTGGGAGACCAGATTAGAGCCCTGGACGCAGCCATGTCCTAGAAGTTGTATAATGCTTCTGAGGCAGAAAAAATGGCTGTGGAGTCAATTGGGGGCATCATGTGTGTAGTTCTGCTTGAAGATTAACTAGCCTCTTCTGGGATCCAGAGAATGGTTTATCCTGGACACTACCTGGGACAGTTTGTACAGAAATATGCCCATAGATGAATCAGCAGGGGAGGTGGGCACACAGGGAAATACAAGTGCATGTGGTGCCCAGCAAGATGTTGGATGATAGCTGGGGATGAAATTGGTCCCAGAGGACCCCATCTTGAGCTGGGTGTGGAGCAGGGAGCCTGGATCCCTTCTGTCTGGTGGAAGCAGGTCTGTGACTACTCTGGCTTCCATTTCAGAGCCAGGTGCTTCTCACTTTCTTCTTTTCTGTCTCTAAGAGCCCTCTGTGATAGACGGTCTCAGCCTCACTTTACAGTTGGGGACCTGAGACTCTGAGGGGTGACCTGACCTCCTAATGTCACACCGTGGGCACATGACAGAGCCTCCATGTGTGCCCAAGCCTGTCTGTGAAACTTGTGCTGTCAGCTACATTAGGGGGCAACCCAGTCAGGTAGTGTGGGACCCTTTAGTTGCCACAGACACTGTACACTTTCTCTAATGACACCACTGTGACCTGCCCACATGTCTAGATTCTTCAAGGGGTCAATCAGGGCAACATAAGAATTCCAGGCCTATACAGTGAATGAAATTTCAGATGACTGGAATCCTCATATGGTCCTCAAAAGCCTTGAACAGCCTTATTCACAAGATTTTCCTTGTCTACTCAATCTACCCTTTGAGGGTCAAGTTCTTCCATCAAGTTTAAAAGCCTGTGTTACAAGTTCAGGAGGTGACATCTCACAGGTGAGCATGTGGGAAGGAAAGTTTGGGGTATTTGGCCAGCCTCTCACTCTGTGTGGGCGTCTCTGCTTGGGGATGGGTCTCAGGCTTTCCCTCAGTCCTCAGAGGAGGGGCAGGTGGGGCAGGGGTGAGGTCCTCAGCTCCCCTTTGTGCCTCCCACCTTAGGCTTTCTGAGGGGCTGGTGTCCCTGGAAGGCCCCTTTGGGTCACCACCCATCCCACCCGAGGTTGGTCTCTTTACAGCACCATCTCTTGCTAGCCAGGGGCTCAGAGCTGGGGGCAATGTTTTCCTGCCCTGCAGAGATAGAATCCTCCTTTTCCCAAGGGCCGGGCTGTCTCTTCCTTTTATTTGTGTGCATTAAATGATTAGTCTTTCCTACTGTACCCCTCAGAGAAGCTGAGGTTTCTGGGGCTTGAGCTTTCCTGAGCATGACTCAGTTCAGTGGCCAGACACACGGCCTTTGAATTGTTCCTCCAAGTTGACTATCTTTTCTGGGGGACAAGGGGGTAGGGAGGCAAAGGGTGAGGGACAAGTTTCTGGAATGGCCAGCTCCTGCATTGCTGATAGGTGAGGGGTCTGCCCTGCCAAGGCAGCTCCTGGTAGGAGTCCAAGAGCACAGTGAACATGAATGTTCACCGTGGATTCGTCCCCACAGCCCAGTCAGCTACCAGGTCTGCAAAGCCTTTCCACTGCTTTGCAGAAACCACTCTAATCCCTCTGTGCCTAGCTCACCACCCTGCCATGGTCCCAGCTCATTCCACCTCCTCCTAACTTCCCTGCCTACCTGCATTCTCTCCTGCTTACAAATGTCTCTGACTCTTCATCGTCGTCATGATAAACTATAAACATCCAATGACATCCTAGGTCATCCCAGACCCCAAAATGAGTCTGCCACCTCCCCTTTGTCCCTTGATCTTGCTGTCCAGTTGCTGAATTTGCCTCAAATCTTCCTGCCTGGCCCTGCTGCACCCCTACTTGACCTCAACACAGACACACACACCCCCACACCCGCTCCAGC